TCTCTGAATTGACCTTCCTCTTTGTAGACTGGACACTGGTTCAAGTCCATCTCATGGGGTCTCCATGGCCTCCCCAAACAAGAGGACAGGTGACTCACCACAGTTACAGGACATTTTGAGAGCTGTTCCATAGTCCCCTGGAACTTAGTTGACCTTGGAGGGCAAGGGGCAAAAACTGTCCTTTAAGTCCCTCTGACCACATTAGTATAGGCCTCAAAGTATGCTGTTAAACATCCAATAAGGTTAGTTCCACCAATCTAGTGCTTTTAATTATCATGTGCTATGTAGATAAGGCTTGGGTAAAAAAACCCAATATTCTCAGATAAACCTTTAGTAGATATTTATTTTGTTCTGTAAACTAGTTGACTAAACTATGACCATAAAAATTTTAGGATTACGTGTATATTATTTTTGTCTCATCCTTTATATATCATAACAAACCGACACAGACCTTCATCACTTGCTTAGGATTTCTCACTTTTTCTATTTGGGAAAATATCTCCATTGTCATATCCTTTTAGCATCTTTTACATTCTCATTTTCTTTTTTTTTTAATAATTATGAGACACAATAGCATTAACAAGTACATTTTCCATCTGTTGTGAGATTTCTTTTCCTGGGGATACTAAGCAACGCTTATTCCCATTTTAAGGTTCTAGTGTCAAGCCAATGTATGATTAAAGTTTTACTGGGGAACCAGTGAATTTATTGAGCTTACTTAACAAGATAACTGAGGGGTTGCTGAGATGTACATATGACCTGAGGGTATACACACTGGAAAGCCTTTACCCAACATGGATCAAGCCTTCTCTTCCTAGCCTTCCCAAGATTGTATATTTTAGCCCTCCCCAAATCCAGGAGGCCATGTGTGATTAGGGCCAAACTACATACAGTTGGCTGGGAAAAGTGGCTGAATAATCCGGGGAGGGTCCAATGACCCTGCTTGGCCCTCCTTTAATGAATGAGCACAACCATCAACAAGCCCAATTGTGACGATGTTTAGGGAATCAGGCTCAGCTGAAGTCATGATGATGGTAGTTATTTCATGCAGAATGAACTGCTATATAGCATCACCTTATTTAAAAGGACCTGGAATTTTAAAGGATTTGGTGCTAGGATCCACATATGAGGGACAACATACATTGTTTATTTTTCTGAGTCTGTGTTACTTCACTTAGTATAACAGTTTCTAGATCCATCCATTT